TACCCATGAATCTAAAAGGCATGTGAAGAGATTTTAAAACATTAGACGCTGTATGTAGCGATGCCTCCTTAGCATGACAAAGCTATGGAAGTCTAAATTAGGAACAATAAATTGGCTATGATTAAGGGCTCTTTTGGGTGAAACAAGTTAGCGGGATTGCTATGTCTGCTCTTGTGTCTTGAATAAATGAAGTTTTTCCTTGATCCTGAACTGTGTGTAAAAAAAACTTGGTTCTGTTTTGGTACTGTTTATGATGAAGGGCTGGTGGAAACCTCAGTTGTGCACCAGTGTTCCATGAAACTGTATTGGTGGAAGCAGGTAGAGCACTTTCTGTTTGTCTTGTGAGCTCACCATTAGACAAACCAGTAAGATTTGGTTCCTGTGCTTCATCTCCCAGTGGTACCAAACTGGAGGCTGGCAGAGAGTCACTATGGTTCTTACAGACTCCCAATGATCAAAAAAGGACCAGTGTAGAGACAGCCATCTTGGTAGGGTGGCTTTGATTCCATTTCAGATCTGCCCATCTGATGACATGTGGAAAATTATCAAATAGCAGCAGGAGAGGTGGCAGAAGCACAGATACACAATAGGAAATAAGAAAGACATACTTCCACTGGGGGTCCTCAGGTACAGCCTACACTCCAGTGGGGAGAACAGTGATCAGTACAGCAGTGACATCACCAAACCTCAATCCAAGTCTGTTGACACTAAAAGTCTGAGGCAGTAGTGTCTTAGATGATCTAACACCGCAGCTATGAGGCTCAGGGCACAGAAGTCTACTGCTATTTTTCGGGAGGAATTCAAGAGAAAAGCTTTTACTCTTCAAAGCCACAATTAACATTTCTTGATGTTCCTGATAACATGGAAAATCATGACTTTTTCATCTCAGGTCCACTTTAAAGCAGGACCATCCTCTCAGCTTCAAAGACTAAATAGTCAACTGGTGCTGTACAGAAGCTGTAGAAAAGTTTGTTTAGACAGTAATTCTTCTTTAACTCTTTACCGTCGCCGTACGCATATGGCAACACAGGGTTGGGCCTTATTCCATGCTGCGACATATAGTGTGACTGTATTGATGTTTTCTGTCGGAAGTGCACTCTCAGTACTGTGACCGGGTTGTCACTGACAGCTACTGGTCACAGAGCAATGATCAGGTGCTGGTAGGACAGGCTCCATATCACGTCATCACTGTGACTGCCATTCACAGTGATCACATTTATTTTTTACAGGTATTTATATAGCGCCGACAATCAGTCCCTGCCCTCAAGGAGCTTACAATCTAAGGTCCCTATCTCACATGCACACGGGCTGATTTAGACAGGAGCCAATTACCATTCCAGAATGTCTTTGGAGTGTGGGAGGAAACTGGGGAACCCAGAAGAAACCAACAGAAGCACAGGGAGAACATGCAAACTCCTTGCAGATTGCGTCCTGACTAGGATATGAACCTGGGGCCCCTAGCACTGCAAGGCATAAATGCTAAGCCCACGTAAAGCCTCAGATGACAAGGTTAAACATTAAGGGATTAACTAAAATGACAAACAGGTTAACTCAGACCACCACAGCGACCACTCCATCAGCTGCACTTTGCACAGAAAGATTTGTCATGCACGATGACCTTTCCAGCACTGTGTAAAGTACACACTGTTGTGAATCTGTTCTGGGCTGTTGAGCAGTGAAGAAGGGACAGGGAGGGCGTTCTGTTAGGCTGGAAGTTGTCCGAGACACAGCGCTTTTATTTTACTGCCAGTTAATCCAGTCACAGGTAAAATCAAAGGCATATTTCACAGGCTGTCGTGCACTTGCTGTACTGCTTCACTTTTATGTCTTGCCATAAAATAGAGGGCACACCTCTGAACCACATAGCTTATTACTACCAATATGCCAAGCTACCAAAACATAATTTACTTCCTCTCGCAGTCAGTGACCAGTTTATGTCTCGAGAAGATCCGTGGAAATGATTTTAAGTAAGAACTCCTATTCCAGTAACAAAATATGATGTAGAAGGTTAAAAAATGGCGCCTCCCTTTAACACCTGCACCAAACACTGAATAAATGAAAGCTTATGTTCCTTAATTTTAGAGGTCTTCCACAAGATGGGAGGGCCACCTTCCTTTATGTTGCAGCATTGTGACATTTGCATGCCATTCTATGCAGCAATACGCTGTGAGCCTCGGCTGCAAGATGATGCTGAGCCCAGGAGGTGTATCCATGGCCATCTGAGACAATAATACATGTCCCAAGCACACCATGGATCCATAACGAATAGTCCAAACATTTATTAAAACAATCCCATCCCAATCAGTATCAGTGCAACCTTCCAAGGCCACATAGGAGCCCTTTGCCCAGCACCAAGACAGCAAAAGAGGCTACCCTTGACCTCTGACATCATAATCCCACCAAAAACAGTGCAAACAATGAGAAAATAGTAAAGAAAATCCCATGCATATTGAGAAATTACATTCACACCAAAAGATTTAAATGTACATACATGTGCCTGGCTGAAGCATGCTTCCCTTGCAAAACCGAGACATAACCCACATATTACATCCATCCATCTGATTGGAGAAGCATTGTAAAGCTTGCATCGGGTTCAATTGCTAGGCAACCGTGCCTCCACACTGAATTGTCATATCAACCAATAGAGTGGACCTGGCTTATAGCACATGCATGAGCAGCTGTCTGTACCATGGCAACTAGTGATACTGGATTGCCGGGTGGCGGATGCTGAGCCCAGAGGGTATGTGCATGACAGTCCAAGTGCACAGGAAGGGGTTGGATGAGGCTGGGCATCATTCAACCCGGAAGTTGGGAAGCCGAACAGTGTCAGAGGATGCACAGAGCAGCACAGGAGCATGGAAGAGGTAAGGAGTACAATTTAAACTTTTCATTTTACAAACCAGAGGGGGAAAAAATGTGTTAATACAAAATAAATAAAAATCAGGAGCTAAAAAGGTCATTGAGTGTCCATAGTGTTGTTTTGGTATATGTACAGTGGTGGCAGCCACATTGTGACCTTAGTCAATGATCTCGAGAATGACCTCTATTATGTCCTTTTGGATAGGGCTTGTGTCAGGGGTGCTTTTCCCCCGCTCGCTTCACAAGATCTTTCAAAAAGCCTGTTTTTATTTTTCCCCTTGATAAGTCAAAGGTGGAGGTCCTCAGCATGTTTTCCCCACCCTTCTCTATAGGCAGAACCGGAACGTAAATTATAACCCTGTCCTTATTATAGTGAAGCACTGGAGGATTCCCTTGCCTGTGTGTGGTAGTATCATATCTGTATATATGACTTCCCTGTGATGTCTGTGACTGCTTGATGTAAAGTTTTTGTTTTCCAACTCTCTCCAATCACTTCTACCCACCAACAAGCCTTGACTGAGTGTATGCTGGTGTCCAATACACCCATTTGCTCCCCTCCCATTACACTGGCAGATTTTCGTATGGGTTTCCTATATGTAAAATTCCCTCAGAACATTTACAAGGTTATTCACAAAACGGTGAAGAGTTTGGAGAAGGCAGGAGAAGTGAACAATATAGGCCACAAGAGCCGATTTGGAGAAATTCTCCAATTCAGCTCACTTTCCAGTGCAGCTATGTTGTCCTAGATTGTTCACTTCTCCTACATTCTGCAAACCCTGCACCATTTTGTGAATAACCCAGTAACAATGCCATCAGAGACTTGTGAAATGTCATTTGGTTAGAATGTCGAATATTGTTTGGTTATAACATTCGATTTTGGAAATGAATGGAGTTTCCTGAACAACAGCCACATTCAGTTATAATATCATTAATTCAAGAAAAATTGAATTTTATTTTTCACTACAGTTGAAAACATTTGCTGCTTTGACCCTATTATTAGAAAACTGAACAAACATTCTGAATAACTATGAACACCTTATCTCTTGAGCATACTCTTCTTTTCTAGCTGTCTTTGCAGTCCCGAGTGTTGCAAAGAACATTACGGACATAATGACATGAGTGGAGTTCTCTGCAGCATTCTCCTGCCAACCATGTGTCCTTGATGCCAAAAGTTCATATTAAAGGAGAACTATGAGGTGAGTGAAAATCACTCATCCTCATAGTTCGAGCCGACGTGTGACAATGAAACTGTTACACGTCGGCTCAATAGATCGGGAAGTGAGAGAACACATACCGTCGCTCGCTCACTTCTCGATCATCTCCCTGCAGAGAGTGGTGACTGTCAATCACCGCTCCCTGTAGGGATTCCCCCCTCCCCTCTCTGATCCTCCAGCGCTGAGTGGAGGAACGGACGTGGGAGGGGGCGGGTACAGCTGGCTCTGCCTCTAGATAGGCAGAGCCAGCTGTCACTCACGCTGCTGGGTGGATCTCGACAGTAATGTCGGATCTGTCCTGGCTGCGGCGGTCTCAGTATAGCTCGAGCTGTAGCTTGCGATATACTGAGCTTTGGGTCACGGGAGGACGCTAGTATATGTCCTGTCATGACCCTTAAGAGAACTATGGGGAAAAACACTGACCCCATAGTTCTCTTTTAAGTAGACTGAATGATGCCAAGATATATTCTACCTGGAAGAGCAACCGAGCAGCAGGGAGGTGCGGTAAGTCCGCGGGGCACAGCCTCGGAGAGGAGGCGAGGAAAGCAGCCATAGCTGCTTTTTTTTAGTTTACCAACACCTGGGCAATTTTATTATTTGGAAGTTGGCGTGGGGCTTTAAATCACAAACTGTTCTCTGTTACCAGACAGGCTTTAGCTAGCCATGCCAACTATAACATAGGCAGTTATGGACAGTCTTCCTCACTGAGACAGAAAAGTATTGTTGGCTCATTGCTTGACAGCCCCTTCTTTTTACAGCAGGCCGGCCTCTAGTCATTGTAAGCTCCGTGGCCAGCGCATGACCCCAGTTTAACAAAGCAGCCAAAGAGAAAATTGTCTTCCCAAATGATCACTAATTGCACTGGGAATGTTTACCTTGTCTAGGCCACAAAGCCCATCTTGTTAGAAAGAAAAACAATTTACTTACTTAAGCATTTTGCCAGCTGTGGGCTGATCCTTCTCCCAGTAGTGCAGATCAATGCCGAATGGAAAAACAGGTGCCCTTGAGGGCTCTTCCTCCTTCTTCTGGTTTTTACTGCTGGGCTCTTCGGCACTGAGGCAGAGATAGACACGGGTTATAAAAGGCAGTGCTTCCCAAACTGCAGACTGCCATCAGGCTAGCAGCACCCATCACATAGTAGCACCTATACTATGTTTAAGCCCAACTAAAATATCACTTTAAATGATAAAAATAGATTCTAGATGCATCAAAACAAAAGGTGTTCAAAGTCTTAGTTTACAGAAAGTAGAAAAGGCCGTCACCTGTCAGCACGCTGCTGAGAGGGATCTTTGCTCTCTGCCTGGAAGCAGTGGTCTCTCTGCAGAGGGATCTCACACCCCACATTGGGCTAGAGCTCTACAAATCAGCATCTTTGCTTATTGCAGAGCTATACCTTTGACTCATGGAGGGGCACATAGGATCTCTACAGGAAGACCACTGCTTTCACAAACAGGGCAAGTGCCCTTCTCTGCAGCATGCTGGCAGGGGACAGGTTTTTTTTGCTCAGGCCGTGGCTGCTTTTAAAAGGTAGGATTTTACACACCTTTAATTCTGATGCACCTGGAATGTATTTGGCTCATTTAAAATGATAGTTCAGTTGAGCTCGAAAGCAGAACAATGAGCAAAAGTGTTCTTAACCCTTGCAGTGGTGCATTGCAAGGGTTAAGTGCTTGTTTTTGTCTGTACACTCACCCGATCCTCGGGTAACCCCACTGCAAAGGTTAATAAAAATGTTGCCCGGAGTTCAGCTTTAATAAATGCACATTATTCATTTTAATAATGTGGACGCATTTTATTACATTTATGCTTTGTGTGTCATTTCAAATAACTTCCAAACATGTTTTAAAATCTGCAGCTTTCATCAAAATACCGCGGGGTGACCCTGCCCTGAGTGTCCTTGTCCAGTCACTTCCTGCTATTGCTCCCCTGTGTTGTCACAAGTAACTGTGCTGACACACATTGCACGTGCATGGTCCACTGTTTTCACCAGGAAAACCTCCCTCAGAAATGGCATGTAGCCATTGCAGGAGTGCATGTAGACAGGATGTGGCTGCAAAGAAGTTGATCAGGAGATCAGCAGCAATGAGATGCAAAAAAGGCAGAAAAAAACAAATATAAACAAGTATTTTATTAAAAAGAATGGCAATGGTTTATGATACGCAGTGCTCTAGCACACTAAACGTGGCTTAGGTAGGAAAACACACAAAAGAAGCACCGCTCCTCCACGGTTTAAAAAAGGAATGAGCCGGGTGCTTGCTGCTAGGAACACGTCCTCGCTCCAATATGAGCTTATACAAACAGACAAAAAGTGGGCCACACACGGGATTCCACTGAAATAGTTTATTGAGTCTTGTACCACATCACTGGTGTCTTGTCCTAGGTCAATTCCAACTGACGCGTTTCACCCAATCATGGGCTTAGTCGGAGTACTACTAAGTCCATAATTGGGTAAAACGCATCAGCAGGGAAGGAACTTTTGCATCAGGTCTACATGCATTCACAAACAATTATCCCAAGCTATGCTACGGCCAACTAGTAAGTACAATAAAATCAGTGATGGGGGTCACTTGCAGCCCAAATGTAATACCTGGTTGAGGCATACGCAGATAGTTTATCCCTCACAACTTTCAGTGATGTGGCAGCACAAGTAGGATCCAGCTCATCGTCATTCCTCTTTCTCCTCGGTGCTGCAAATGGCTGAGGAGGCTTTCTTACTTCTACTTTTTTCACTGGAGGAGATAATGAGGATGATGATGCCTCTAGACCTGAACCAAATTATACAAAAAAAAAAAGAGAGAGAGATCAGCCATATTAATGCAATAAGGAGACAGTCATTCTTTATGTTGCATTAGTTCTGTGGATTAGGAAATAGAAGGCCTCATGTAAAAAAAACACCACCAAGGAATTCAGTGTTGTCCACACCCAGAAATGTAAGATGCAGGGATACAGCAATCTCAGCGGTGACAACCCATTCCTCCAAAAGGGAGCCTGCCGCAGCCCCCGTATCATAGCAGTCCATGTATTCCTGTTGCAAACTAATAATGCCCAATGCACCGAGGAGATGTGTTGGAACTTCCATTGCAGAAGAGCATTAAAGCTGAACTTCGGGCACAAAAACTTTCAATATATTGCTCAATAGCCACAAATGATATAAATCCACGTTGTGTGCACCAAATGCCAAATTATTAAAAATGTCAGTGACATCATCACTATGCTGTACATAGCCTGTGCCAAGGACAGAGCTGTGGGCGGGGCCCAGCAGACCTCACCCACTACAGGCTGCCTGCAGAAAACTACAGGAGGGGGCGGAGACAAGACCAGTCACCCTGCAGCAGGTGACCGGTCTTTATTACAGGAAGCTCCTAAACAGAGGCAAAGATTTACACTGAATTACTGCACAGATCTGAAAGAAATACGCGAAGCACACCAAGATTCAAGAAAGAATACACATGACTCCTTGTTCAATCAGAGCCTTGTATTCATTCATTAACATACAAGGGGGGAATATCAAAACTGGAGCTGAGAAAATCTGGAGCAGTAACCCATGGCAACCAATCAGCTTCTCTCTTCAGTTTGTTCAGTTTAGATTTGAAAATGAAAGAGAAGCTGATTGGTTGCCATGCACAGCTGCGCCAGATTTTCTCTGCTCCAGTTTTGATAAAGCCCCCTCAAGGTGTTCTCTGATTGGATATGGGACAGAGTGTGACCTCACCGCCCCTTCTTCAATCAGAGTACTTGATGATAGAAGTCACCAGTACTCAATATTGCGCAAAAAGCATAAGCACTTTTATTAATCCGTCAAATGCGTCATCAAGCCAACGTTTCAGGGCCACTCAGGGTCCCTTCTTCAAGGCGACATAGTGACGATGAAGCATGGTCCCAAAACATCAAGTATACTGTGACACAGCGCCATCAATGTTGTTACTTCGAGCACCAACATCTGTATTGAGGGTCTGTACGCTGTATGGAGTGCAGGCGACTCTCTAACACTTGTTCAATCAGAGAGCACCTTGTATTCATTCATAAACATACAAGGCATTCCCTGATTGGGCAACAGACAGATCATGATGCTGCCAGCAAGCCACAATGTGCAGAATTAGCCATTACCTTCAGGTTATGGTGATTATAGTGGCCAATGTGTACACATTATGTACTCTTATGTACAGATCAGCCAGTGCACTCTGCAATATTATTACTGGCATCACACCCATAGGTAAGTGGTAACATGAGGTTTGCTACGCATTATCGCAGTAGACTGTGCAGTGCACAGGCGTTCATTTAAAATTCCACCCAACCCACAAATAAAGTATCTGGCAATGCACCCCCGCTGTAGCACAACACAACGCATGTTGTGTGGTGAGTTATAAAAACAGTGCAGGCAATGGAACGGAAAAGCATGACTAGGCCCTTAAGGAAGAGGCAGGGACAAGCAAAAGAATCATAAAGAGTGTAAATAAAATGTGTGGAAATAAAATGTAGATAAATCCAGTATCGAGAAAAGAAGGAATACGCAGCAAAAAGGGGTTTAAACATGCAAAAGTTCCTTTTAAAATAACTACATAAAATATTTAAAATGACGGAACGCTGCTGTAAGACGGACAAAGGGCTTTTTTTTATGCCTTAAACGGCCAAATAGCACCTATTTGCTGGGAGCAATGAAGAGGACGGTGTTGAGGGAATCAATCGATAGCGGGAAATAGAGAGGCAGGCCTCGGAGCCGAGAGATAGGCCGCAGAATGCTGACATTATTGATTTTCGCCAGTTCAGCTGGTCTGGTAATTAAAATGTAAATTTGAGAAAGAGATTATGTCCTGACAGAAATGGTGGGATTAAAAAGGCAGATAAAAGACCCAGCGTGAAAATTCACTCACTACAGATAAAAGGAGAGAGTCTATGTACCGAGCTGAACAGCTGGGCGACCTCACAGGCAAGGCAAACCATAACATGTCTGCCAAGAGCTCTTCTACCAGCTAAGAGGAAACTCTATCGGGCTTCAAAGTATCCCCGTCAGAAGAGAAAGACAAGAGCTGAACATAATGCTAGTTTCCTGGCTGGCTATGCCATCAATACTCATGAGGCACGGACACCGAACAAGCATAAGAAATCCCTATACTCGCTTTGGGTCAGTGAATCAGAAATCTCTGAAGCCAATGTATATGCACAACAGCCTAGAAGCTTGCTTTTTCAAAATGCTGCCACTGCTGAACACCTTCTGAAAAGTCTAATCGCAGTAACTTGGGCAGAACAAGCATGAAGCCATTGAAGTCACCATTTCTGATCCGTATACTTGTTCCGGGTCTGTGACTCAAAGCTTTGAAATTATTAGCATAACATAGGCTCATGCAAATGGACGCATAAACAGACATATGGGCATACAGCATGAATACTGTATTTGTGGCTCCTGGGAGCCCCAGCCACTGCGTTTTTCTGTTCATAGGATTGTATGGATAGAGTATGTTGTACACAGGTATACGCAAGTAGTGGTATATAAACATAAACGCTTATGGGAGTAAGTTTCCGATTGAAGACATTTCTGTGTTTGGAAACTTAACACTTGTGCTCATGTAAATGCCCATACTTGGCTTTTACATGTATATACCTGTATACAGCGTATTCTATACATACAATTCTATAGACAGAAAAATGCAGCAGCTGGGGCACAGGGGAGCTGCAAATACAGAGTCATTTTACACTAAGCCCATACATTTGTATTTGCGTTCATGTGAATTGCAATGCACAGTAGGTATGCTATAGGGTGCAGTTAGCTTTGAATAGCAACACATCACAATAATGCAGTCAGTGACATTGCGGTAACGTATTATAGTGAATCTAGTTCCTTGTTTCTCAACTACAGTAATCAGGAGCCCTCAACAGGTCCAATATTTCTCTCATCTGTGGTTATCACTAGACCAGTGAGGTTTGGAAAAAGTGGCATGTAGAATGAGGACAGGAGAGGAGGGAAATTCTCTCACACAGAGGCACAAGCTGCAAGAAATACAACTTTCAGTCTTTCTCAACTTTTTTCTCTCAGGGGAACTGCTAAACATTTTCAGGCATTGGGAAACCCTTACCAAAACCAATTCATAGTGGATCAATGGCAAAGATGTCTCTTACAGTAGGAAGAATGCAACCCTTCCATTGGTGGCCAGTAGAAAGAATGCAACCTTCCATTGGTGGTCAGTAGAAAGAATGCAACCCTTACAGTGGTGGTCAGAGTGCCCCCCTTAGGGACAGCTAATAAGTAAATCGGTGCTATGCTGGTGGTTTTGCCAGAAGGCATTGGCCATGGAACTATGTAGGCGCATTTAAATAGGAGGTCATTCAGCCATAGCTCAATGAACCGCAAACCAGCTCTGGAGGAAACCCTGGTTGAGAATGGATGATTTAGAGCTATTTCTGCTCTTTTTCCACTAGGTAAGTAATTTCCTGCCCCTGTGACGCCAAGACCGGAAGTAAAAAGAAATCACTCCATTTAGGACACAGCAATAACATTTTGCAGAGGTTCTAACCATCATCTGCTGTATCCATAGCTTAAAAAAGGTGCTTCTGCAAAGCATTGTGGACAATTCAAAAGCTGTTTTCTTTACAACAAACTCCTTTCACACATCTCAACTCCGTTTGCTCCAAAAAAGGAGAGTGACTGAAGTACACTTGCACCTGCATTGTCCTGTAGATTCAACGATAGCACAGTGGTGTACACAGCTATCACAGCTTTTAAAGTCTTGGATAAAATAAGAGGGGCCCAGGTAAAACACGCTGTCCTTCATCCCGTAGCGCAGTGGTTGTAGCAGTGTCTAGATAAAGAAACACAGTCTGTTCTCAGCCTAGTAGTCTTTCTCCCCTCTGTCACTTCTGATTTATCAAGCTTGCCGGCAGACAGATTGAGGCAAGCAAGGCACTGCTGATGTTATCAGGATCTGGACATCATTGTCAAACATAGTCTATACATTTCTTATTTGCTGCTGACAACACAAACTGTACTGAATGCAGACTTAGGAGAATTAAGCTTCTTGTAATATCTGGTTGAACTTAAGGTTCCCATACACAGCAGATGAGCATCACTCGATCCCAATGATTATAGCCAGATTCAGCAGTAATCCCATGCCTATGACACTTTGCACAGATGTATTTAGCCTTACGAATCTTAAGAGCGGAGAGTTGATTTTCTGAACTCATCACCATTGTTTGCACACGAGAGTGCTGACACAAGCACCCACACAGTGTATAAATGTGCATGCTCAAAATGCAAACATCTGTGTAACCCGCGTCTAATGTCTACAGGTATCTTAGAGAGAATACCAGCCAGAAACACAGCCTAACGTAGGAACCCAGCTTAAAATCAGTCTATGTTTGCGTAAAGTACATGTAAAGCCAATCGCTGAGAAAAACAAAAAATTAAATACGCTTTAATGTGTTAATGTGATTTCAAAAGTCGCTTTCAGTAGTTTTTAAATCTGCAGCTTTCATTAAAGTAATATCTGGTGGACCTGCCATGTTCAGACACCAATGATGGAGCAATTTTTTACCACTGAGGCCAACAATAGGGAACTATTGATTCCATTGAGAGTAACGATGGGGCACTATTCCTCCTGCTGATACTAACAACGGGGCACAATTCCTTCCACTTTAATGATGGGGCATCATTCCCCCCTTCCGCTAACCACAAGCACTGGGGTTTTTTAGTTTTTTTTTTACTTCCACCGCTTGACAATCCTGCAGCAGTGACTAGGGCATTATCTACTCCTACTGGCCAAAGTCCGGATGT